TCTTGCTTCTTCCCTTCCTCCCGCCCGCAGTAAATTCATCCGTCAACAGCACAGTTTACGTCCGTACAATCGCACACGATCCGCAATTTCATTCACCCGTGTCCCCAAAACTACGGGACGCCCCGCGTAATCGAATGACACGCGATATGCAACGTATATCGTGTATCGCATCTCGTTAAAAGAGAATTAAAGTTTGCCAATAAAATCGGCTTTTGTAAACTGTATCCGCCGGCCGGTTCGTGAAAAAATGCGAATTTTTTACTTTGAAAATTGGTTACTACTGGGTCTAGAAATGAATAGACGTTATTTATAGAGACTGCGAAAAAATATTGCGAGGCCGCAAAAAAATCTATATATTCTGGTACAAATCACATGATGCTTCAAAACATGTAGGTGAAATATAAATTTTGAAACGTCCCGCACGAGAAGATATATTTCAGGTACGATAGATTAACTGTAGCCGTAGGCTACACGCGCAAATACGTCCGTATTATCGTAATACACGTAATGTTCCATTTCCGTTTCGTTGATGCTATATGGCATCCCGTAGTATCCCCCGGTGAAAAATTACTTCGCGTCTCCGGTTTCTTGCGCGCTGAAGATGGATCTTTTTTTTCGCCAACAACAGAGTTCGTTTCACAGAGACGCGAGACACAAGACAGTGGGGAGTGTTCTGCGAAAGGCGAAGTTACGAAAGTCGAAGATGAACACAGAAAAGAAGAAGAAGAAGAAGAAGAAGAAGCATTGTCGAGAAAGTAGAAAGTGGAGCGAGAGAAACGCGAGACGAAATGCAACAACACCTCATTATTGCGCGGGAAACGTAAAAGCGAAATATATCGTCGGGAAAAGAAGTCGCCGGACGAGAAGGAAAAACTCGCGAGGACGAACGTAGAAAGGAATCGTGAACGCGCGCGTGTAACGGAGCCCGATTCTGTCGTTATTATTTTACAAGAACGTGCTCGCTTAACGATCGTGCACGACCCCACGCGAGAAATCGCACCGTCGAGAGAATTCCGTCCTCTGGAATTCCATCCTCACCGAGGGAACAAGTCAATACCGTTCGGCGCAACGACGATTGATCTAGCTCGCTTTTCTAACCCTCCTCTATAAGGAATTTCCGATCCAATACAATTATCTAAATTGTTTTGTCTTGCTGGCTTTCAGTTTCGATTTCTTCCGTTTCGAGAGCAATATTCTTGAAGAGGGAATTTTACAAAATTGACAGTTTGTTCATTTTTTTCACACATCAAACTGCGCAGAAGTACAAAAAAAAGGACGCTTTGCGCGAAGCTGGTATTAAATAACATAAGAAATAAAAATATTACAATTTTCAATGCTTTTATGCGTTAAATTTTATATTCTATATCATTTCAATTTTGTGCGACGGGGAGGTGCTAGCTTAATAGATATAAAATAAATGTCAGCCTTTCCGTGATAATAGAATATTCTGTTAGAATGGCGAACACATAGATAATGGAGATAACGACGGCTTCGCGAGACGTTAATGAAACATTATTGGAGATATCGAATTAATAAGCGTTTAATATCCATGATAAACGTAACCGAGTATCGACAACACTTGAAATCAACACGGGGGAATCGTGAGCGGAGCGACGAGAGAGCGGCGGAGTTCGATTCCGCGCTAGTCGGGAAATGGCTAAAGTGGCTAATTGGAATCCCGGTGTCGATAGTATTAGAAGTTCTCTCTCGCTCTCGCTGCTAATGCGGTAAATTCCGCGACTCGTTTCTCGCTCCTCGTCTCATCTCGGCTGGCTGGCTAACGGCGGCCCTTGAGATTCGCTCTTCTGCTCAGCCATCGTTACGATCGGTCCGCCTTCTCCGCCTTTTGCTCCTGGCACACGATTCGAAACGTTTCGCCCACCTTTCGTCCACCCCTCACTTTTTCCTCCTTCCCCCCCGGTGCCTCCTTCTTTTTCTCTTTCGCTTCCTCCCGTTAAATTCAATTTCACCCGCTGGATCGATGAGTAATGAACAGTATGACGAGGCGTCTGATCGAGGCGGACCCGCTTCCGGTTAATGTCTCCCGTCGGGGCAACGCGCCAGCGGAACTCTGTTACTTTGAAATACGTCGATTTCGTTGCTTCGTCGGTACATATATATTCGATATGAGTTTTTCGCGAAAATAAGCGCTCTGCGAAAAAAATTTATTCGTCATTTTCGATTTATTTTTGCATGCGGAATCAGCCTTTTGTGCGACGTTGCGCCTGCAGCAACGAATCAGCTCGTATGTATATTAATACTCGCGATTGAAATGCTTTATCGTTAGATACTTGATCATTCTGATAAAAACGATAGGTCGGATATCGAAATATGAGCGCCCGTATCGCGCGACGGAAATAAAACCGTGGGCTCTTTGTGAATTTTTGTAACGCACGCTATGCGGAGGACTAAATTCGATTTGTAACAGCGCATCGGGGTTTTGTATTTCGATCGAAACCGTCGATCGTGTGACGTCCGATAATGGAACTTGCTTGATAACAACTGCGCGATAGTTGGAAACTAAAATTACCATCGTGACCCGCGACCTCCGATCTCATCCGGTCTGATTTTTAGCGAAATCCAATCCGCGTCTCGATTTCTCGATATTTATTCAAGACTCGATGAAGTCGCTCCACAGTTATATTAATAGCGCAATTCTGCGATTTCGTGTCAAGACTTAATTTTAAGGATTTTCCCAACGAAAATACCGAACGAAGGCGTCCGTCATGATTTTATCATTTTCAACGTTACGTTGAAATAATTTTGATTTTAACGATTTTAACGAGAAATTAAATCGAGTCGGCGCCAACGCGAATGCTATATCCAGAAACAAGCGATATATTCTCAAGTATCTATACCACGTCGGGTTACATCGGTCACTCAAGGATACTGCGCGGAGAGACCGTCATTAGATTAATTAAACTCTCTCTCTGTCGGCGGGTGGATGTCTCGCGTCGGGTTAGTCCGTACGGAGGTGCGACGATCGTTACATCGGGAACAGGCGTTAGTGTCCTGTCGGTCGGACCGGCGATATAACGAGGTTAATTAGTCCGACGGACGGCGAGAGAAGGCCCGCCCCCGAAATCCTTCTATTAACGTCGTCAGCTGCGAGCGCCATTACTGTCGTACGGCACGTCGCATAACTCGGGTCCTGTCATCCTATCTCGTGTCCTTCGCAGTAGCGGACTCGTATCACTAATTCGCCGATTAGTTTACTTGTTGTCAAAATGTCCGACCGATCCGCGGGCGAGACTCCCAACGATTAGGACGGCGCCGCCGGTCATTCGGCGAGATATGCAAAACTGCTTCGACACCGGCGATCTTAATTAAACGCGTCTGAAATTATTCTTTATACACGTTTCAACTGTATTCCGCGTTTCAAAGAAAATTTTTGCGACACGACTGTGGAAGAGCCGCGTCGCAATTTTCAGTTTATCTTCTTTAAATAAAATGTAAAGTATGCGGAATGAGAAGTAAATAAATATTCGTTAACGTATAATATAAGATACACAAACTGCTCCGTCATCGGCGATCTTAATTAAAAACATCGGAAATCATTCTTTAGATGTTTTTCATGCGAAAACTGTATTCCATTTCAGAGGAAATTTTCGCTCTCCCAGTCGCGTCGCAATTTTTGGTTTATCTTCTTTAAAATAAAATGTGAAATAGCAATACGGAATGAGAAGCAAACAAATATTCGTTAACGCATAAATATTATAGGCAAATAAGTAAATATTAGCGCGAGATCGAAATCAATATTAAAATATAAAATATAAATACGGAGAAACACACGCAGCGATTTTTCGCGAAAACATCGCTCCGACGAGGATCTGTGTATGCGGGCGCGCGTGTGTGTCGCGCAATTAAGATGAACGAAAAATGAAAATAAAAATTCGTAGAGCCAGCTATTAATATATCATGTTGTTCTGTCGCAGGTGACTACTGAAGCGTCGTCGATCATCCGCGGTGGAGCGTACTTCGAAGATTAAACGGCCCCGTGGAAGCCCTGTACAACCGGCGGGGGAGCTCGAGGGTGAGTGTTTTACAATTACAACTATGAAATTTTATACTCTCCATCTCTCGACAACTGCGACTGTGATAATTTCGAGTTGTGTCAAGTGCCGCGGGCGATGTCGCGTGTACGTATAGTATCAAGTATCGCGCGTACGTGCCATTTTAATTGCACTCTTTTCATTTGAAAATATTTCACGTAAAGCACGGCGCGCGGGAACACCGGTTTGCCGGAAAAAAATGACATCGCCAGAACGTTACCGCACCCTTTTGCTGCGACGAGAAAGAATGTCGCGAAAGAGAACGCCCATATACACGAATTCACGCTCGTTACGGTTTCTCCCTTTCTTTTTTTTCCCCTCCGCGCTCTCTCTTCTTTCCCTAACTACGCTTTTTTCTTTCTCATCGTCGGCGAAAAATTACGAAACGTTCCGCTTGAAAATGGAGTCAGCCGGTTACAGCGGAAAACCCTCGCGCATGTTCCGTCATGCAAACAAAACCCGCGAAATTGTTCTGCATGACGGCTATTGTCCTGCGTCGAACCGAGGTATTAGAAATCGGTTCCGTCACCCGTGATTAAAATACTGTCCATAGTTCGCATTGCGAGGTTACACTGGAAAAAGGAACAACTCTTTTATTAATCGAGTTAACGCCTCGACGAACAGTAATGAGACAATATTGAGACAAATGTGACAAAGTCGATTGAAGTTACATAATTAATACAATGCTAAGGCATTTTCTTGCATACGATAGAATATAATTTATGTTTTTATTATAGTATATTTTATTATTTATTCTATTTTTTACTTATCTTTAATATATTTGATATAAGTAATAGCAGATTACTGATGCATTCAGATAGAATTTACTGTCGCATCGACACTTATTTAATACTTTATAATTATTTAAACTCGAAAATTACTGCTAATTTCGTTATTCCAACTGATATATATATATATATATTTTTTTTAATTCAATCTGGTGTAATGACATTTTTATCGGCTGCAAAATGCATAAAGCTCGATTCCGCTCGGTTTAACAAGCGAATTAAGTGCGCTAACGTTTCGACGTTATTATCGCGTTAATTACCTGCCTACGCGAATATAAATGCGTACTTTAGATAATCCTATCAGCGTACGTGAAAAGTCGTAAGCACCAGTTATACTGGCACCAGTTATAATTAAGCACTTAAGGAAACGCCCGTAATGATTCTGACAGATCGTCGTTTACATTAATCTCGATTTGCCGGCGAAATGTTTCTTAATGCTTCTCCAACATCATAAAGTTTACATTTTCTTACGAAAATGTACTTGCAATTTATATGCTTGTAAAATTAACAACATCAAAATTTCATACTTCAAAATGGTGGCCGCGTATCTTAATAAATGACACATTAATTTGATAGTAGAAAATCTGAAGTTTCAGATAAAAATTTAAAGAACTAAAAATATCATTTTTTTCTTAATTATGATTAAGAATTATTGCAAAATTTTTTACTCAGTCTGAGATTAATTATATAAAACTCATCGTATTTGCGAATCGATTTTTCAACGGATCTCGGTCAACGACGAAGAAGGGTTTTAGATGTCTACCACGCTCGAATACGTCACACCCGACTGATGTTAAGGCACGATCGTATTATAGATTACAAGATCATTAAGAGTACATTAACGTTAAATTGCTCGTTATCGCGCAAAATCGCTTCTTAATCTTATTCGATGTACGTCGATTATAAGAGCAAGAAGATTGCACGGAGATGTCTGCAAGAAACAATTTGTCTTCGTTAGAAAGGAATTACGAAATTATTCAATTATTAGCGCGTCAAACTTTGCTTTAACTGATAAAATTACAAATTATGAGCGCATGTTTAGCTTATGGAATTTGCATATATATTAGTGTACAGGGTGATTACATTTAGCCATAACAAGCGCAGGATGTGCGAAGTTTGGAGTTTTTATGTCGCAGCTAATCTCACATACTCCGAAGCGCAAAAAAAAGATTTGAAGATCGTGGAATAATGTTTCGCAAATTTCTAAAAAATGATTACACTTTGAAAAGTTGCAAGTATTTGCGCCAACTAAAATACTTTTTCTACAAACGAATTACATTGCTACGTTTCGCGCAGTGCTATTTTGATCATCATAAAATATTTTACAAAAGCATTCCGTAAAACTGATACTTTCGCGGAATATGATATTCTATACGTCGCAGACCCAATAGATGGGGATGTTTGGCAAGAAAGGGAAAAACGGCCATTTTTTTTTATAATCTTGGCCCTTTTGACGCCGAGCGATGCAATTGAATTTTCTTATCGTCCCGACTCGCCGTGCATTGGCCTTTTGCGAGTAGCGGCGCTATTTTGGCGCACAAGAACGGTCTTCCCGGAAGCGCGGGGGATTCGAATGGAAAAAGGGGAAGCGGGAAGGGTAAAAAGAACAGCGCCTTCAACGACGACGGGAGGTGGGTATAAGCGAAATTGCTTTTGGCCCAGCCGCTTTCGAATGTCGCTGAGAGGTAGGGACGTTTTAGCCGCGTAACGAGATTGCCGTGACGTGTACGGATACATAGAATACATACAGTTATGTCTCCTTTGAGCAAAACTTGTTGGGCGCGCACGTGTAGTGCGGATACTTATACGCGATGAGAAAGAGACCACTGGGTGCACACGTGTGCACCGAATGGCGCGTACCGGACAAATAGACACTGAAAACACGGCATGTTGCTATTAAATTCGTCGCAGACACGCGATAAGACCGAGTTTTTAACTCAAGAATTATTCGCAAATTTCGCAACATTCTAACATGCTTTTCCAAACAATTGTTAAATTTTTAAACAATTTTTTTAAGTAGACTACAAATATCTCTGTTTAATAAAACTGCAATATGCTTGAACAAGCGCGTTTATTAAATTGGAGAGAATGGATGAAATTTGAATTAAATTAAAATGATAAATTAATAAGAAATATTCAAAATCTAAGATATTATATTCGATTATTTCGAGCAATGTGCATCTATTAATTTAATATCGTCGAATAATAATTCTTTCTTCTCCGTGGCTATTTATGTTTTTCTTAAATTTAGTTTGAAAAAGCAGACAATTATTGTTTGTAGAAGACGCAATTGGCGTATAAATAATGTTACATTAGCTTCGAGAACAATTGAGTGTATTTAAAGGTTTAATAATGACTTGTTTAGGGGAATTAATCAGAGAGAGAACAGAGCGAAACGAAATCTAATTTACAGAATGGCGTGCGGGTCCTTTTTGGACCGTGCACGTTTCGATTGTACGGCACGTCGTGTCTAAATTGCGATCCGCGGAACACTTCTTATCAAAGTGCTAGGACGCCACGTTCGCGCGCACGTGCCGCATTGTAATTATCTCGACGTACGGAACGGTACACACGCGTGCGAAATACGTTACTCTTACGTAGTTGTAAATTACATTGCGCGCGAGCGCGCGTGGCACTCGCGGAATTCGGTGGAATGCCTCCACGCCCGTTTGTGCTATAGCAACCATAAGCGAATAAAGTGTCGGACGTAATAACATTTCCGTGGCGTATCTGCTTATATTGCTTCTGTGCAATTCACTCGTGCAAATCGCAAAAAGTCGACAGGTGAAACCGCGAACCGAATATCTACAATATAGGAACGATAAGAGTGACGCGTGGCCTACATCGGCGACCTCCCGCAAAAATATGCACGTGCAAACATATATTTTATTACGTGATGTCCTTTAGGACGTTTTTAGGACGTCTTAAAGATGTCCTGTTTAGAACGACGTCGTGGACGTCTTATTTGGGACTTTTTAGAACGTCCTGAAGATGTCTTATTTAAAACGTTACGTTATACTTTATTATATTACACACATGTTTTTCTAGGATGTTCCTTACAGAAATCACGCGCCACTATAAATATATATTATAAAATTACATAAATATTTATTTTACTGGGGCAAGTTATAATTTTGAAGCAATGTTTCAGGAGCTTACTTTTTTAAATGGCTTTTAATCCATATTTTTCGAAATAAAAGACGATATCTCTCCGCATATTTAATGTAATGTGTACTTCGAAGGATTAGCAGGAGGGTAAATCTACAATTTTTTTCAACAGAAACAGGCTCGTGATATGTATTTCAATGAAATATTCCCGCGGATTTGTACTTACTTATTCATATTAATGGTTATTATTAATAACGTATTTCACGTCACGAATTAATTCTATTTTCGCCGATACCCGGGAAACGCGCGGATAACGTTCTGCGACGGTAATTTAATTATTTTAATTATTTTAATACACGGATATATCGAAATCCATTAGTAATTCAGATGAGCGCGTTGGAGCACCTCATCATAGCGTTGTTTAATCGGACGTAAAAATTATGCGTTTCAATAAATAAAACATAATATCTGCAATCATTAATTTGCTCGTACAATCTGCACACGGCGTTTCTGTAAAGATCAAACACTTAATTTTCCTTCGAAATTGATTTAAAATATCGCCAGGGAGTGCTTCACCTCGCTGTTTCGCTAAGACGCGACATGCTTTCTAATCCATCAAGAAAATCGACGTTAAATTATGTTTAACGCAGCCCGCTACTCCCGAGGCGGGCGACGTGTACGCGAACATGCGACGCTAACGCAGCCAATAACGGCGCGCGACGTAACAAAGCGAGATGAGCGTGTCGATATTTCAAAGCAACGGGCCCAGTATGTCGATATACCGATAATATATTGATAGATTGATACCCCCCTCGCGCGCGCACGCGGCCGAACATTCGACGGAAGCGGGAGCGGGTCGTCGCACACGCGGATGATATTCGTATTTTATGCACTATCGCGTGTACTCCATTTCACTCGTTTCCTGGATAGAGCGGCCTGTCCCTGATCGATGAGAGAGGCGCATCCATTCTGTGACGCGCGCCTTCCATCTTCGCCCGCAGTCTTGTCCCATATAGCAAGCATATGATTCCCTTTACTTTTCAATTCGACTGCTTTTTCTCTCTCTCTTTCTCCCGGATTTCAGC